TGAATGAAGACATTTCCTCTCCCGGTGGGTTTCCTGCTAGCAGCACCGTTTCTCCTGCAGGCTGTTCCAGCTGCCCTCCAGCCGTGCTCATGGGCATTGGCGTAGCTCAGAAACCTCCAGCTCAACCTCCCCCGCACCCTCCAGAAGGTCTTATTCCTCCCCAGTTTTAAAAGCACCATGGAGCCACTCCAGTGTGCCAGGGGTTCCTAGAGAGATGACCGATTTTACACGAGGGAGGAGGTTGAGCTGTCATAAGCAGGACCAGTTAATGAACTGCTGCGGTCCGGACCAGGAGCTGAGACTCCGACTGAGTCTTTTCAGCTCTTTTTGGAGAGATGCTGCAAGGGGCTGGGCACTGCGTTGCACTGAGGTGCCCCATGATGCCTACAAGGACAAATTCCCCCCCAAACAGCCTTCCACAGGCTCTTCTGCATGGACAGGGCGTGCTCTGGACGGGGTGGCAAGGAACCGCAACCCCTTCACTCGCAGAGCCACCGAAGCTGCGCACCGCAGGAGCGGAGCCCAGGGCTGGCAGCCGAACCCGGCGTGCAGGGGCAACCGGAATCCCCTCGGAGGGGCAGCCCCACGGGGAGGGAAGGCTCCGCGGGTGTCTCAGCCACGGGCGAGCGCGGCGTTTTCCCACGGCCCGAGGTGACAGCCCCGCGGTGCCGCGACGCCTCTCATCCCGAAACTCGCCCGGCAGCGAGCTCCCGGCATCCGTCTTACCTGGGGGGGTCCGTCTGGCCGCTCCCGTCCGAGCCCCTCCATAGCTCGCGGAGGCCTAACGAGCTGCGGCTCCGGCGAGAGGGAATCCTCCTGGGGTCGGGGCGCGTCGTCCCGCTCCCGCCCCGGGGCCACGCGGGATGCGCCGTCACCGCCAGCTCCCGCGTCTTCACGCGTGTCCGTCAGCAGGGCCACGTCCTGGCCGCCGGAGGCCACGGGCACGGCGTCGCCCGTCTGCGGCGGCTCCGGATCCATGGGCTCGGGGCTCGGGGCTCACGCTGTCGCGGCGAGGGCCGCCCGCGGCTGCGGGAACCGGCACGGACACCCCGAAGGCATCAGAGCCGCGGCGGCGGCAGAGACGGCCCGGCGGGGACGGAGGCAGCTGCGGCATCCCTGCGCCGGGGGAGGCTCCATCCCCGCCTGAATCCGCCGGCTCGGCGGGCGGGCGGCTGCCGTCCCCCCCCTTCTCTCCCCGCACCTACAAAGGCCGGGCGCGGCGTCGTGCCGGGCCGCCCGCCGCCCTCGGCCCCGCCGCCCCCCGCGCCG